ATTACTGAAACATTTTAAACTCTTCAGCAGTCTGGAGGTCTCCTTATACTCCTATCCCTAGACTGCAAGATGGAACCTTAATATCAAGAGCATTGAATTAGCTGCTTTTCATACTCAAACTGTGATACAATCTTACCCCATCTTAATTTTTTAAAGCTGTATTTGCCATGAGTTCTTTAACAATGCTGATGTTTCTGATAGATTTTTATCAGGCCAATATTTTCACCAAAACTACTATTCAAGAACATAGATGTTCTTTCATGAAACATATTCTTCATTAGCTTACTCAGAGAAAAAACATTTTCATCATTTCACTTCATTAGCTTTAACCCTGATGTTGTTATTGTTAGAAGCTGTGATATTTAGCATTTATTTTTTATAAGGGACTTTCAAGTGAAGCAACTCTTTTGTAAGACAGCTAGATTTTCTGAAGTTTGTTTCCCATCAATAAAGCAGTCATTTCTTTTTGAATGCCTGTTTTCTTATCCCCTTATTATATTTGCCAAGGAATCATTCATTGCACCCTGTTTGTTCAAAAGGCAAAAAACTTTTTTATTTTCACATAAGTTTCTTCATATCTAAAACAATGTTCAGTGTATAAACTGCTTTCTCGTGGTTTTTTTAAAGGGTTTTTAAGTGGCTTGTTTGCTCTTATAGGTAGATTTTTGTCATCCAACTACCATAAAAACTTTGCACAGTTATAGGGTAAATAAGTCATTTTCTCGAGGAGCTGGTAAAGCCAAAAAGTGGCATAGCTCTGACTTTTGTATTCTTACAGTCTTTCCTTGGAACTAACATTCAAGAAATTCTAGAGGATTTTCCTCCCTCTTCCTTATTCTTTTAAAAGCTGTATTTTAAGTTTACTATGAACGTATTATGAGCTGACAAAAGTCTTTCAGGGCATTTCGCCATTTTTTTTGTGTGGAAAAACTACCTTTCCCAGACTGCATTTCTCTTCATCAGCTCACTGTTAACAAGCTAGCTTTTGGACTTCATTTCCCATAGTTCTTTTCAGGTCTGAAAGTCAACTTCTAGTTCTTTTTTACTGGGCTTGCTTTCAAAGTTCTTGCCTGGGAGGTTTGAACCAAGCTTTTTGCATTTTCAATTACAGGAGATAGGGAGATTTCTTGTCTCTTTTACTGGCCTTGCTTTCAAAGTTTTTATTTTTGCAATGGGAGATTTGAACCAAGCGTTTTAAGTTTTCAACTACGGGACATTGGGAGATTTCTGTTCTGAGCTGGCCTTAACAGCTGTCTCTCCTTTATCAGACACCGCCCTGAATCAGAACTGCACCTGCCTTGTTAGCATGCATTGAGGTGTGCATTTCTGATAGCAACTCCTCTTGGGGCTTGTGTTTTTTCTTAGCCAGTCAGTGAAAAACAAAATCATTTGCAACAGAACTTTTCCATACTCCTTCAGAGAGATTTTCTCCCACTGATAGATCTTCATCTCATTTTGCCTATCCCAAACTGCCCTCCCCCCTCCACCCCAGATGCAGACCTTCAGATATCTCAGGCTGTGGTTCTGTTCCTCTGCTAGCTGCCTCTGGAGGTAAGGGCTTTTTCCCCTACAAATCTGCCTCAAACTCTTAGCAGCTTTCATTTTCTGGGGAGGAATTTGTCCCTTCTCCATTTCTTCTTCAAAGACTCTTTCTCCCGGACAGTTCCCAGTTTGGTCTCAGTTTATTCCCTCTGCCCCAGAAACACTTTCAACACCAGAGTGGCAGCTTTCCCTGCTACTGAAGGTAGGGGCTTTAGTCCATCTCTATTTTCAGGGTCTGTGTGGTTTGTGTACAGATTGAAAATGAAGCTTCTGCTTTTCTGACAAGGGAGGTTTTTGCCATCTCTAAGCTCTCATTAGGACAGGTGCACTTCCTTCATCAGGCCTTTCACCTGACCCAGTCCCTCAGTGGGTTGTGTTTGTTCCTTCTGTGCTCAGACAGAGCTATCAACTGAGGCAATCATCCCTTAGGGCTACACTCCCTTCTCTCACCAGAGTCAGTTGAAACAAAGTTTTTTGTTTGTTTGTTTGTTTTTCAGAAAGATGCTTTCTCTGATAGAAAAAAAATACCTTTACTCCTGGTTAGTTCTCTGTTCTGCCCTGGCTGGGCTCTTTCCCCAGACAGTGTTCCTGACTTGGCAGCCCAACTGCATCAGACACAGTTCAGCTTTATTGCTTTCACAGAAAGGTCCTTTCTCTGATAGGAAAACTTTTCTCAGATTTCTTTTTTGCAGCTGTGGACACTGCATAGCCCCACCTAACAACCCGGGACTTGCAGGAAAGTGGGCGACTGTGCCCTTCCTGCTGGCTTTAGCTTTGTTCATTAGCAGTTTTCCCCTGAGTCCTGCACCTTCCTGCCTCAGCTGTGCTCTCCAGAAAGTTGTTTACAATTGCAGGAATCCTAGTATCCCTGAAATGCACTCCAACTCAGAGACGCTGGCCAGTTGCCTCTGGGTTGTTGGTCAGAAGCAAGGACTTCAAGGGATCTTTGTGTTAGGGCAATTAGGAGCACCCTTTCATTCAACAAGTGTCCACTCAGAAACAAAACTCTCGATGCCTCAGCTCAGCTATAACTGAAAGGCTTGGCTTTATTGCTTTTCCCAGTAAACAGTTTCCTACCCTATTGGGCTCTTTAGGGCTCCTCACTCACACTCTCCCAAGCATTTCCCTCAGGGTTCTCTGACCCATTGTCTTTTACTAGCTTAAAGAGAAAGAGCTTAGAGGTTTTTAGGAACTCCATACCTGCCTCCTGCATTGCAGGGAGGATTTTTAAAGCTTGAAAGAAATAACTTAAAGAGGTTTAGCTGTCTTAAGAGGTTTGTTGTTTTCTCTTAAAGCTAATCACAGGTGATTCCCATACTAATATTTTCAGGTGATTCTAATTTTTGTCCTTCTGAGAGAAAGAGTTAAAGGCTTTAGTTTTTAAGCTTTTTAAAAGAGCTTTTGGTTTGAGAGAGAAAGATTAAGGCTTTTTAGAGATTTTTTTCCAAATTTTCCAAGTTTTTAAGTTTAAGAGAAAGATTTTTTCTGAAGAGAAAGACTAACTTTTCCCAAAACTTCTGAACTTTACATTTTTTGGCTTCTTACACTTGTATTTTTGCCTCAGGGGGAAATCACTTTGTGCTGCCACTTGGACTTAGCATTTCAACTGTCCCTAGCCAAAAAGCTTCCATAGGAATCTTTTTTCTGCCGGATAAGCTCAAAGAAAGTATTTCCTCCAGTTTGCATATAAAACCCCCAAAGTTAGAAAATTGAAGTTTTTCTATCTAGTTGCCTTACTTATCTTAAATTTTTTCTACACGATCTTACACTTCTAAATTTTTCCTACACTGTATTACTGCACTATACCTTATACTTATTTTTCACAGGTAGAAATTGAGAGAGAGAAGATACAAATCTTGATAGAGGAGGTTTTTGCACTGCAGCATCAGACATCCAGTCCATTTTTTCCTTTTCTCTCGAGGATAAAACCCCCTGCCATATATATTCCATTACAACACCGGACATGTCCCTTTTTTTCCAACTGGCAAAGATTAACTCATACTTTCACCAAAACTCTGTAATAAAACTAAACATTGCTATTATTTTCCTTTGTCTTTAGTCCCTATTACTTTGTATTTAGTCCCTGTACATTTGTCTTTAGTCCCCCTCCCCTTTTTTTTCTTTAGTCCCTTCTCATGGTGCCATTCTGTGGGGCATTTACCCATCAGCCCTACAGTTCCCCAGAGTTTTCTTGAGTGCAAGCAGCAGGAAATATTAGATAGAAGGATTTAGAATGTGGAAATAAACAGATGGAAAGTACAGGATAGCCTCAAGAGGGCCTGGAACCTATTCCAACGGGTCCTGACAGTCTCTGCTCTAAGGTATTTATAGAAACGCCGAGGAATAGAATAGAATCTCCTCTTTGTAACTTTTTAGGAACAATTTGTAATCCCTAACAAGGCAAAATTTTCTTTACTTCTTCAAACATTCTTTCTAAGGTATCTGCATTTGAATTGGCTAGTAAAATATCATCTATTTTTTTATTTTAAACAAAAAGGGGAAATGTGGTGATATTTTATTTGTGTACCCCAATAAAGCTTATCTGGGGATCAAAGGAAAGAAACAGCCACTATATTAAACATAGAGACCAGGCAGTGGTAGCACACACCTTTAATCCCAGCACTAATTAACCAGACAGGAAGTGATAGAGCTGGGCAGAAAGGGGAAGTGATGTAGCTGGGCAGAGAGAGGAAGGAAGATGGCAGGGCACCAACAGGTCTATAGGTGTAAGTATACAGGAAGTAGCTCTCTCTTTGGCTGAGGATTTCCTAGAGGTAAGATGTGGCTGGCTTGCTCTCTGATCTTTCAGCTTTCACCCCAATACCTGCCCCAGGTTTTTTTAAATAAGACCTTTTAAGATTTGTGTTACATATACATAGTCAAATGAAAAAACATCAAATATATATTGTGCCATGGAATAAAAAGAAATTAGCATGTTATATATTATACATAATGTACATATTTATATACATGTTATATATTATATACCAATAAACTGTATTAGTAATGTCTATTAAGATAATACTCTGAATGATAGGCTTAAAGATGAATAAAACTGAACCTTTCTCTCTGAAATTTCTCTCAAGGTAAAAGTAATTCATATAATATAATTAAAGATGAAAATGACACAATAAAGCTGGGTGTGGTGGTACAGACTTTTAACCACACTTGGGAGGCAGAGGCAGATGGATCTGTGTGTTCAAAAGTATCTTGATTTATGTAGAGAGTTCCAGGCCTACCAGGGTTTCATATTGAGACCATGCCCTCCCAAAAATTGTAATAGTTTTTGCATAAAAAGGAACAACTAAGCCATATCTGGTTGGGAATGAGTTGAAAGTTAATGGTGACTGGTTACCACAGACTGCATGCTATTTATTTAGATCTGTGTCCTAAACTGGCATCTAGATTCAGAAGGATATATCATCTGATGGCTTTTTCCCCTATGTGTATGTATAAAGATTTCCCTCTAGAGTGCCCATCACTTCCCATGATCCACAATGGAAACCACACAGGACAGCATGTTGGCCAGTTTGTGGCAGGGTTGTCTGTGACATTCAGCTGTGATCCTGGTTATTTGCTTATTGGACAAAAGACAGTTAAGTGCTTATCTTCAGGAGACTGGGATGGTGTCATCCCCACATGCAAAGGTACCTTAAATTCACTATCTACTGGGGCTGGCCTGATATTTTCCACAATTTATTTCTTATTCTTGTCATTTTTTTCCTAGAGGCCAAGTGTGAACCTCCAGGACAGTTTCTCAATGGGCAGATAAAAGAGCCTCTGAGTCTTCAGGTTGGCAAAACTGTGTACTATTCCTGTAATGAAGGGTGAGTGTCAGGAATGTCTTTAAAATTTAAAGCACTTGGATTATATGTGCCTGCTGTAAACTATAAAGCCTATAGAGAGAAGAACATGGAAAATTCTGGATGTTATTCAGGAATTATCTGGAATGAGGTAGTGAAAGGTAATACTAATAAAAGAGTAGCTGTAGAGACTAGATTTGAAGTCAAGCTTACCAGTTTTTCCAGCACAAACTGCTTAATAGTACTAAATTCCAACCCTGGTCTCCAGGTACCGATTACAAGGACAACCTTCTAGTCAGTGTGTAATTGTTGAACAGAAAGCCATTTGGACCAAGAAGCCAGTATGTAAAGGTAGGTAAGATAATGGTGGTTTGTAAGGAAATACAGGGGTCCACATACACTGCATCCTTGGCTTTCCTATAAGCATGTCCTTTTTCCTATAAGCATACATTTGTGTGTGTGTGTGTGTGTGTGTGTGTGTGTGTGTGTGTGTGTGTGTGTGTGATCACAGCAAAAACCAAAAATCAAACTAGAAATCTTATGAGTCTGGTCTGCACTGCAACATCCTTCAATTGCCTTTTTATACTATTTCCTTAAGTCAAATGAAGCAAGCAGCTTTCTTTTTCTCAAAGACACAGGCTCTTGGTGAGGGAATTTGAGCTATTGTACATAAAGAAGATTGTGTATTTGGTAACTAGAACTAATAAATCATCAAAGGAGACATACTCAAAAATAAAGTTTTAAAATCTCATTTGTAATAATAATGCATTAGCTGACTGAATGACTAACTATAGATTCAGAAATCACTGTCCTTTACCTTTTCTAGAAATTCTCTGTCCACCACCTCCACCTGTTCTTAATGGAAGACATACAGGCAGCTTTTCAGCAAATGTACCATATGGAAGCACAGTTACCTACACCTGTGACCCAAGCCCAGAGAAAGGAGTGAACTTCATTCTTGTTGGAGAGAATACTATCAATTGTACCAGCAACAGTAATAAGAGTGGGATCTGGAGTGGCCCTGCTCCACATTGTGAACTTTCGACTTTTGAAGTTCAATGTCTGCAACCCCAGATAGACAGAGGGCAAATATCTATTTTAAAAGATAGATATTCCTATAATGATACTGTGACATTGTCTTGTGAATCTGACTTCAACTTGAAGGGCAGCAGAAGAATTCGATGCAATGCCCAGGGCAAATGGGAGCCATCGGTACCAGCGTGTGAAAAGGGTGAGTGTTTAATAATCAGAAGATGAATCATTTCAAAAATTTAGAGGAGGGCCTATGGACTTTACACAGGGGCCTTTGTAGTACCTATACCTTCAGTCATACGATAGTGGATATAAATTATAAAGAAGGCTTTCTTAGCACTCCCTCAACCACTATGGAAAATACACTAGAGTTTCTAAGTTGTCCATTTCTTTAGGAAATATGAGAGCAATACTTGTTTGTCTTAACAGTGATTTTTCAAAGGAAAGTCACCAAAGCTTTCACCTGGGGGTATATTAAAATCTTCCATAAAGTCTTCTAAGATAATTCCTTCAGAAGGGAAAAGCTGGTGTAATGGCACATGCCAAAAAAATGCTGTAACTGAGGAGAATGATATAAGAAGGTTGTGAATTTGAGATCAGCCTAGGGTACATAGTAAAATCCTATGTTTAAAAAAAAGTAAAAGGAAGAAAAAGAGAGAGTGGGGATGAGGGACAGGAGTGAGTTATAGCAAGCAGAAGCCAAATAGATCAGTGGCAGCCTGAGTACAGAAAAGAAAATATGATTGAGAAATGATAACCTGAAATTATCTAAGGACTGCAAAATACCCTCTGTTCCAGACAGCTGCCATAATAATGAGGTTATCATATTAATTTTGACTTCTTTGGCTCAGTTTCTATTTTGTACTCTAAAAATGTTTCATTGTATCCATTTTTCCTTTAGAATGTCAAGCTCCTCCTAAAATCATCAATGGGCAAAAAGAAGACAGGCAGTTCCTCAACTTTGACCCTGGAACATCCATAAGATACAGCTGTGACCCTGGCTATTTACTGGTGGGAGAGGACACTATACACTGTACTCCTGAGGGGAAGTGGACACCCACTGCCCCCCAGTGCAAAGGTACTACACTACAACTGCAGATATTTTGCCTTAGATTGTCTTATGTTGTTACTCATCCTTATCTTTTATCTTAGTTGCAGAGTGTAAGCCAGTAGGACCACATCTCTTTAAGAGGCCTCAGAATCAGTTTATTAGGACAGCTGTTAATTCTTCTTGTGATGAAGGGTGAGTTAAGGATGTCTCATTCTGAATGAGGTCTGTATTATCAGCACCCACTGCAAACTGTATATAAGAGTTCATTTTTTCTTTTTTTTCCCGAAACAGGGTTTCTCTGTGTAGCTTTGCGCCTTTCCTGGAACTCACTTGGTAGCCCAGGCTGGCCTCGAACTCACAGAGATCCGCCTGGCTCTGCCTCCCAAGTGCTGGGATTAAAGGCAATAAGAGTTCATCTTAAAGGTCTTCCCTTGTCCTGTGCTCATGGATTGTTTATCACAATGTTTTTCCATGCATGGGAACTACAAAATAGATGGATGTACTGAAGTTGGCTGAATTTTTTTTCCTGTTGCATTTGTCCTATAATTTGTCAGTCTATCTCTGGAGCCCATGGTGCTTGCTTAGCTTATTGGTAATCACATGGCCAACTGATAAGACTCTTTGTCTCTAGGTCCCAGTTAAGTGAGAGTGCTTACCAACTGTGTCAAGGTACAATTCCTTGGTTTATAGAGATTCGTCTTTGTAAAGGTGAGTAACAAAATTGACAGAGGACTTAAAGTGGTCCTTAAAGATGGATGAGTGTCCTATTTTAGACTATGTTATGGGAATTAGCACATTATTTTGTCAAGTTTTATGGCTATTTTCCCATCTTGCTTCTGTCACCTCTTTCTACTTTAATCAATCAAATTCCATGTACTTAGTTACTAAGTTTATGTTGTGGGTTAGGATTATCAGAATATAGCAAGTTATAACTATCTAAGCCATTATCCATACTTTGGGTTACACCAAAGGTTTAGTGAACAGATTAGGAGATTGGTGTCAAATATGAACTCAAATTCTGTTCCTTCTGTCTAATACCTGTATGATCTTTGACAACATATATGACTTGCAGAAACTCTAGTCTCATCTGTAAAAGTATCACCAAATTGCAGGTTTCCGTTATTAGAATAAAATGGTACTGTACCTAACTTCTGGATGATGAAACTTCCTATTGTAAAGTAGGTGCTCAATCAACAATACCTGTCCTTAGTCAGCCATATAGCTATTGTAATAGGATATACTCCAAAAGTATGATTCTATCACTTGTACTTTTTATTCTCATATTAACTGTGATAAAATAATTATTAATTAATTTAATTAACAAGTGAATATTGGGTCTTATTATGTCATAATATGTTCATTTTCAATACCAATCTTATTTTCAGTGAAATCCATTTAAATCAAATTTAATATACACAATAATGTTTGATACAACTCACAACATGAGCATCCACACCTTCCAGAGAAACATGGTCAGAACTGCTGCACTTCTAACCCTGGGTCAGGTGTCTACAGTATCTTTTTATGTCTCCAGAAATCACCTGTCCACCACCTCCTATTATCCACAATGGGAAACATACAGGGAGTCCCTCAGAAGATGTCCCATATGGAACTATGGTCACCTATATGTGTTATCCCGGGCCAGAGGAAGGAGTGCAATTCAACCTCATTGGGGAACGCACTATCCGTTGTACAAGTGACAACAGAGGAAGAGGATCCTGGAGTGGCCCTGCTCCTCTCTGTAAACTTTCTCTCCCTGCTGTTCAGTGCTCAGATGTCCATGTGGCAAATGGATATAAGCTCACTAACAATAGTGCCCCATATTTCTACAATGATAGTGTGACATTCAAGTGTAATAATGGATACATTTTGAATGGAAGTAGCCAGATTCGTTGTAAAGCCAATGACACCTGGGATCCTGAAATACCACTTTGTGAAAAAGGTAAGAAGCCAGACCCAATAGGAATTTTAAATGGTATTTACTTATTTACATTTTTCTTTTCTGTTTTTAAATTGAAGGACTGGAGATGAAACTCAGGGCCTTGCACAACTAGGCAAGTATAAGCTACAGCTACAGCCTCTATAGTTTAGTCTTACTTATTATTTCCTACTCAAAACAAGTCTTTCATTTTTTATTTAAAAAAGGCAAAAGAGACACAGATTTCCTTCATATTTCCTCCATAACACAGAAAGCTATACATTGTTGTATTGTGATCTTTGCATGAGTATACCCTTGGATTTGTAACATATTCAAGGTATGTGATGAGAAGAGCTTTTAAAGAAGCCTCAAAACAAAAAGAAAGACAACTTAGCAACTAAAGGAACATTCACACACATCACAGTCAGGACTTCACAGTCCTGAAGACAGACAGTGGATAGATTTGTTTCATACAGTATGAATCCAGGATCACAAGTATAGCCACAGAACAGAAAGCATTCTATGATGGATGAGAACTTCCAGAACCATGCCTTCAAAGTTTCAGATGGGCACCAGCTGTTGTTTTTCTTACAGTTCTAGAATAGAATGCTGTTGTTGGTGTTTGTGTGGGAAGTTCACTCTCCAGGACACTACTCTCTTAGGCACCACTGTAGTTGGTATACATGTAGAAATATGATCTTCTGTCTCTGGAATAATGTGAACATGCTTGTGACCCTTACTACAAATTATGGGAAACAAATCCACCCATTGCCTTCAGGACAATGGAGTCTTGCCTATAATGTCAAGATTATTTTGGTTCCTGAGTCATCTTTCTTTTTACTATGAGGAACCTAAAAGCAATCACAACTTTGTGCCCCCAGAAGGATGTGAGCCTGTGAGAGAACTTCACGACCTTCCAGATGATTCTCATGTAAAACTAGTGAATACTGCCTGTGAACATGGGTGAGTGTTAAGTTGTTCATTCTGAAAAAGAATGCCCACTTTGTATTTTGTATTAACTCTACCTACAGCTTGTCTTGGTAAAACCCTTCAGGGATTCCTTATGCTCCTACCCACAATGGTCTAACTAGTAGATCTAACACAAATCTTGAAAGGTCTTATAATAAAAAACTCAGAGCCAAATATTGGGATGAAAGCTGAAAGATCAGAGAAACAGAACAGCCAGCCACAAGTTCTTACTTCTACGAAATCCTCAGTCTAAAGAGAATGAGTTCCTGTTTCCTCATGCCTTACATACCTTTTTCTGCCCTGCCATCTTACTTCCTGGGATTAAAGGCATATGTGTTTCCCAAGCAAAGACATAATATCTCAAGTGTTGGGGTTAAAGGTGTGTGCCGCCATGCCTGGCTCTGTTCCCAGTGTGGCCTTGAACTCACAGAGATCCAGACGATCTCTCTCCCAAGTGATAGGATTAGGGGTGTGTGCCATCACTGTCTGGCCTCTATGTCTCTAATCTAGTGGCTGACTCTGTCCTCTGATCCCCAGATAAGTTTATTGGGGTGTACAATATATCACCACAAGTAGGTCCTGTCTTCTTTTTTGACATGGGAAGGGCTTTGCTGAGAGTTTCTTATGTAGAAATAGTTTTCTGATTTGGAGGACCAAGAGTTTCTTTGCACCAAAGCTGTCATTTAGAAGTACCTGTATAGTTGTACAGTCTTTGTTGCAGAGGTGAAATATTGAGAATAAATGTAGTATAACATCATTTTCTAGGTACCAGTTGACTGGACATACTTATGAGAAGTGTCAAAATGCTGAGAATGTGACTTGGTTCCAAAAGACTGCAGTTTGTAAAGGTAAATTATGGACATGGGGGAAGACTTCCATGAATTAGGGAGTTAGAAAAGGATAATCAATTAGTGGAGAGTACGTTTACAACTTCTTTAATAGCTTATACTTCTCCTTGCTATGTATAAGATATGGAAAATTTTTTAGTTTTGATCAACACTGGCACTGAGAAACAATTTGCCAAGTAGGAATGAGTATTTACCATATGTATATGAATATAAATATGTATATATATTCTAATTTTACTAAATAGAAAAATGTGTGTGATATTTCTGGGATATAGGAACACAGCTGTATTTCTTTATACTTTATTTTATTTTCTGAATTTTTTGGAATGAATCTGTACATAAATTGATAAAGCATGTTCTAATTTCCAAATTTTAATTAATTTTCTATTCATATAAATTATAAGGCACTTGTGTTGTTATATTGGGATAAAGACTCAAATTCTCTAAATCTCTTCTGCAGTTATTCTCTGTCAACCTCCACCAATGGTCAAAAATGGGAAGCACACAGGCATGACGGCAAAGCACTTCCTGTATGGAAATGAAGTCTCTTATGAATGTGATCCAGGGTTCAATCTTCAGGGAGAGAAAAGTCTGCAGTGCAGAAATGGTCCTAAAGGACATGGATCTTGGAGTGGACCTCCACCAAAGTGCTCAAAATCTTCTCCAAATCATTGCCCTGATCCGGAAGTCAAGCATGGATACAAACTCAATAAAACTCATTCTGCATATTCCCATTATGACACAGTACATGTTGCCTGCAATCCTGGCTTCATCATGAATGGCAGCCACTTGATAAGGTGTCATACCAATAACACATGGGTGCCAGGTGTACCAACTTGTATCAGAAAAGGTAAGCCATTTTCATGGATAAAACATGAAATGTTTTACAAAGTAAAGAAGGCTTTTAAGTATGTATTCTACCTAAAGGAAATCATCTAAAAGCTAAAGCATTTAGTGTTTTATAAGATGAACTGCCTTTTCCTATCTCCTCACTTGATTCTTTTTTCTCTTTCCTTTATACAGAGTAAGAGCACCTGAAATTATGATTAATTTATATATCAATCAATCTCTAATTTATTCATTCTCATGAATCTAGTTGGAAAAGTGGGCACACTTTTTGGCAAATACTTGACAAAAATGCTGTTTGAAATTTTTATATTTAAGGCTATTGTGCCATCCAGAAGGAGGATGTTGGATGTTCTGAAGAATGAACCTGACCTTCAAACCCACTAAATTATCTCAAATTTTAGCTGTTATTTGACAGCTTGTTCCTGCTAGTTATTGTCTTAATCAGAGACTGCCAGGTGCAGCCTCGTTAAATTAAGTTCCACAGAGGTGTGGTTTCACTTCCTTGTTCCTGTGCTTCTGTGTGTGCTTAGATTATAGCCTGTTTTCAACATAGAAGGAAGATAATAGATCAATTAGTTGTAAACACTATTACTCTTGGACCAACTGAGGGAATATAATAGAATACCATAGGCTAATAAATTATATTTGTAGACCACAGCTACATCTATTATAGCATCATATGTTCAACTCTTTTCTTCTAATCATATATGGTAGAGAGTAAAAGCACACATTTGTCCAAACTTGAGAATTAACTAATTGGCTTGTTTCTCATTGCTTTTCTGTGTTGCTATTACCCTGGGATTGTGTTTTCTAAGTGTTATTCTGTGCTCAATTAAAAGTCTTTCCTTGTTGATCTCCAAGCTTTCTTAGGGTGTCCTTCTCCATCCACAATCCCCAATGGGAATCATACTGGTGGAAATATAATTCGATTTTCCCCTGGAATGTCAATCATGTACAGCTGCTACCCAGGTTACCTTCTAGCTGGAGAGGCACTTCTTCTCTGTACTCATGAGGGTACCTGGAGCCAGCCTGCTCCTTATTGCAAAGGTATTTTGTCTGCTTTATTGTTGTTCTTTCTCACAAAGTAATTTAACCCAAATATGTATGTTCAGTTAAGCATTTCAGCTTGAAATTGTTAGAGATCAATTCTATAATTTAATTGAGTACATTTCATAAGTTATATTAATTTGGGATAATATATTAATCCCAAATCTTGAAATAAAATAGCATAACTATATGGCTAATAATTATTTAGTTATTTATATGTAGAAAGTTGAAGTGATTTTTGTAATCTAAGCAATTAAGCAAAAGTTATAATCACTCTATTGTTAAAGTTTAGGTAAGAGTGCATTTGACAAAAACATCAATAAAATTCACAATGTTCTTTTGATTCTGTTTCCTTAGATGGTAGTGAGTTGATGGGCAATTTTTTTCTATTGATTATTTGGGAATCTCACATCATGCACCTTGATTGCATTCACCTCCCAATCTCCTCACATTCACACCCTTTTACTGTGACCTCTCCCTCCACAAAAGAGAAAAAAATCCATTTTGTGTTGTTCGTATACTCACTGGAACATGGTGAAATTCCTAGTGGCCAGCCACCCAAATGAGGATAACTCTTTCTCCACCTGTATCCAGCACCAGAAGCCATCAACTGAGGAGAGCTGTGTGTTGGGCTGAGAAGGGAGGGGCCACCTCTCCAATGCTCACTCTACAGCCTATGGTGCAGGGACAGCTCTCCTACACCCACCACCATTGTGTGTTGGCAGGTGAGGGGTGGAGCCAGCTCTCCCACAATACAATTTTTTTTTATAATTTTTTACACATTTTATACAGTAATTATTACCAACAGTGTGTATGAAACAAGAATAATAAGTCAGTATATAATATTGCTGAGGATTCTACTGTATGCCAGATGCTGTGCATTGCTTCTATTCTTATCTCATTTAATGTTCACGAAATCCCTAAGAGAGTTGTTACCATTGTTATTCCTGCTTTGTAGATAAGATTCCAATGTCTCAGAGAGATTTGTGACTTACTCAGATTCATACAACTAGCAGTGAGGATTCAAGTCCAAGGTCTTATCAGGCATGTTTCTAATTTTCATATTGTGAAATGATGTTATAATTTACAAAATTCATGTTCAAAACCCGTGCAATTGGGGCAAAAGACAGCTCAGTAGTTAAGAGTGCAAGCTATTCTTCTACAGGACCCAAGTTCAGTTCCACCTACACAGGGTGACTTACGGCCACCTATAACCAGATCCAGAGAATCCAATGCAGAAAAAGAGGATTTTTCTGGCTTCCAAAGGCACCTGCACACATATTCTGTATTTATGCACATGTACACACACACACACACACACACACAGAGAGAGAGAGAGAGAGAGAGAGAGAGAGAGAGAGAGAGAGAAATCCTAAAAAAAGAAATGTACAAATAAGTTGCCAAAAATATCACAAAAAATCATAATATTCTAAATATGTTTAAGATTTGGGGTTACATTCATAGCTATCCTAGGCTGAATGTGGCTACCTGTGGCCTGCAGGCTCCAAGCTGAACACTATAGGCTCACATGCTCAAAATATTAAAGAAGAAATGAGAATGCATATCCATATATGAAGAATTAGAGAGTAAGATTAGAAACCAAGAAGAAACAGTAATTTGGAACAAATTAATATTATATGTTTAGCCTTTAGTATTTCTCTAAGAAGCCATTAGAATTATTTAAACACTATTAGCACAGACACACAAACAGAAAACAACCCAGCTTAAGTTCCTAAGTAGGTTGTTGAAAAATAGACAATAAAGACTGCACAGAGTATTGCCTTATTATGCTATCCAATGAAACTTTGCTTACTGATAATGAAATAAGTTGATTTCATAATCTTTCTAATAAGAACAACTTCTACTTAGCTGGTAATAGGACAAATCATGACTATGTATTAGTAAGATTTCTTTAATTGCAGAGGTAAACTGTAGCTTCCCTGAGGACACAAATGGAATCCAGAAGGGACTCCAGCTTGGGAAAATGTATCGGTATGGAACTACTGTGACTTTGGAATGTGAAGATGGGTATACCTTAGAGGGCAGTCCTCAGAGCCAGTGCCAGGATGACCACCAGTGGAACCCTCCCCTGGCTATCTGCAAATACCGTAAGTGCAAGTGCCTCATTGCTATTTGCATGTGGCTGTTGTAGGAAGGAAATGGGGTGTCTGTCAGTGTAGGAGAGTCTCGGGGCTTTGACATAGTGAACGGTGATGTGACAGCAGATTAACTGAAAGGCAGCAGTTACTATAAAGAAAAATATAGTTGAAGATGGGCACATCACATAAAGAGAGGCACAATAATCTAAAAGGAGCCAAAATGTAAAACTCACAGCCTTCTATTTTGAAAGAAACTACTGTCAGACTTCTCTCCTGGCTGATTTTTAAGTGCTTACCAACTTGAGAGGTGTTCTGAAAACATGTCAACTAAACTATTATAGCAGTTCATATTTTTATTTGATCTCAAAAATCACTAACTATAAAGCTGAATGTATTGATCAACTCCCACAACTTAACTAATTAAAATGGGAAGATATCCATTGAATTTTGACATAATAAAAGAGTGGATATAACTTGGGGAACCAATACCTATATCATAATTAGACTAAATGGGAGCTAGGCGTCAACTTCTGGGACATTGCAAAATGTAATGGTATCTAGAAAACATTGACTTCTACAACTAGACTGATGTTTCATGACTTTTTTTAAATTCTTTTTAGGGTCAACTATTCCTCTTATTTGTGGTGAGTTCTCTTAAATTCTTGGAGAAGAGTTCTTAAATTTTTTTTGTAAATATATATAATTAGATGTTTTACATTCTACACATTAATATTGTTTCATTTTAATTCATTGGGTCTGATGTTTTTTCATGTTTTGAAAGTATTTTAATGTTCTTGGTGCATTATAAAATGTCCATCTAGGTTAGAGTTGAAAATGTATTCAAGGTTTTTAAATTGAAAGTCTCATTTCATTTGTTCTTGGTATTTGGTACAATTGAAATAAGTAATCTTTTTCTGCTATAGCAAAGTATACTTCACAACTAAGGGTCAAATGTTATTATGCAAAATCATGGGATTCTGGTGTCCTTCCTTTGTTCCTAATTACACTCTAGAGACAAGATTATTTGCCAGTGAAACTGAAAAGAACAGAAAAAACTTGATGGAAAGTTGACTGGAGCTAACTGGTCCATATGCCTGGTGCTGCAGATAAGGCATGGACTAGATACAACTAGAAAAACTTAAAGATCAATTATGATTATTCAGTAATTCAGTGTTTATGGTTAAGGAAATGTATTAGAAAATCACATTAGCAACTTCTGTACCATTAGGAGCAAGCCCTACAATCAGTTCCTAGTCATACATGTCATTTTTTTCTGGCATTAAACATTCATTTTTTCCCCTTCAGGTGTTTCTGCAGGCTCAGTAGTTATCATTTTGGTTGTTATCGTCTTCTGTATGATGTTAAAATATAGAGAACGGTAAGTTCAAATTAATGCTTGACCAATATGTACTACATATTTAGTTTGTCTCCAGATAAACAAAACACAATATATATGAACTGAAACTACAATGTGATCACTAGAGTAAAGTGCTTTGCGGTATAGAGGGCAGACTTCTCAATTGGAACTTAAAAGATACCCAATACACATCAAATTTAAAAAAATCCAGGAAATAGCACAAAAAAACCAAACAAACAAACATCCAATGATAACATCTGAAGATATTTTGAAATATCCTGTTTCATGGTTCTCCTGTATTCTTTCTTTTTTGTTGTTGTTTTGTAAACTTTCATATAGCCTTTCGTCTAATTTCCTTTAGTTTATATAAAGCTCTTTCACGATTATTGTCTTTCTGAAATATAAAAGTTAATATATCGGTTCTAAAATTAAATGATTTATATAGAAAATACACCATTTATTCTTCTGCACTACTACTAATGTCTTAAAGCCCAATGTTAAAGAATGTCAGGGATTTTCTGAAAATGCATCTTGTATTGCTCTGTCTAGCATATATACACATGATTGTGTAAAAATTTTGCAAGTGATGATAGAGAAATAGGAGGCATATGAAAAGATGATGATCATTTCTGTTCATTGGTAATACAGTAACTGTTGATTGCCTTTTATATTAGTACCACACTAGACTATCAAGACATAAACATTGACATGAAGAAGGTCACAGTCTGGTAAAAGAGGACAAGCTTCCAAATCAACAAGTACCATGATGTTGCCATAGTTAATTATATGGTATTTGGTGGGGACACAAATCAATGGTTAATATTTGATAGTTTTATTTGAATAGTGAAAAAACTGTTTCAGATGAACCCATAGATAGTGAAAAACAAATAGAGAATGTGTTGTAGGTAGAATGAAGAGTTTGATAATGGACCAGAGGCTTGGCTTCCCATCATGAACTTTGAGAACCACACATATAATTGAATATGACTGGAAATAGTGTATGTGACAATGAAGATGGGATAGGTTTAGGTACAGATGTGACATAAAAGCCCTCTGACACTTGAATCTTGTGGAGACTACAGAAAATTGGTATATGCAAAGGATATCTTTCAAAAAGCACATAAAATAGGTATCAACCTGGAAAGATATGCAGATGAAGATTTGCCAAGTATCAGGTAATTTTGAGCTGGGGAACCCAAGTCATGCTAGCCCAAATATTTCACACACACACACACACACACACACACACACACACACACACACACCAAAAATACAAAAAATTATTTCCAGAAAAAATACTTTAGCATACTAAGTCACGTGTTTTTGTCAATTTCCCATGACACCAATGCCATATGACACCAATGCCCACAGTTTCATGTCTACTCCAGGCATGAGACATCATAGGGTTACACTACTATCACATGATGATGGTATTATTGAACCTACATAAGACAGGTTTAGTCATGTTCTATAACTGGCATGCACTAGTAATTACCAGGATAGGTATCATACAACCTCAGATTTGAGAAGGACTTCAGAGTTCAGCACCACAATAGGACTGAGAAATACTACAAACTCCTATTTTTTTATGTAGGTTCAGAATACTTACAAGAATAAAATATGGCAATAAAGGAGCCTATTTTGATTTTGATTTGAGTTTTCCAAATGAGTTAGACTATAGTACATTTTTTAAAAAAACATTTTTTTAATCCATAGAACTAACAATGTTCCACTCAGCAGGCATTGAGGAAAATCTAGCAAGGTCATGAGGAGTTGAATCATGAAGGAGCCTTGTTGCCATGACAAGGAACTGTGTGTCCTGTAAGATCATTGCAAAGAAATAAGGTTCAGATTTGCATTTCCAAAGCAAGGTTAGGGACAAGGGAGCTGGAGCACTGGTAAACACCTTTGTTATGAAGAAAATAAATTTCCTGAACTTAGTGATTCACACTAGATGTGGAAAGAAAAATCACATAGACTCCAGGGAAAGGGATTCACTGAGGGAAGAGGGTAGGCTCTGAGAACACATAGTACTCTGAGGTACCTGTGATGTAGAATTTAAAGGAATCTGGACTCAGGTAGGTAACAGACAGTGGAAGTATGGAGATTACAAAGAACAAAAAAGGTAAAAGTGGAATGAGAACAGACATCAAAGAGATAATATTTAGGAGTGGAAGGAAAAAACATAATCAGAGAAGGAGCAAAGCTAGGAGAATGATATTTAGGGAATTCAAAAGAAAGAAAAGCACATAAAAGACAAACATGGGCAGTCATTTACATGGTTTTCCTCACAGAAAAGAGATAATTTAACCAAAAGTAATTAAATTTTTAAATAAATAGAAAATGTGGTTTCTACATTTACTATCAGAACATTACATGTACAGGGAAGATTGAGAAAAATGGAATATCCTAAAATAATGTATAATGTTCCTGTCTGCTTATGATCACTTATTAGCATGTTATATCATAGGGCACTATGTTCTTTAGTCTCAATTGATACTAACAAAACAGGTATGTTTTAAAAAGTTCATAACACTTATTTCAATTCCATATTCTAAATTTACTTAAATTTATTTTCTACTAATTGAAATACAGTTAAGCTTTTATTGTTATGTAAATGAAAACAATAAGTTATTGAGGGTCAGCTTCTAACTTGAACAATTACCAAACCTGTAAGTTATTTATTTTTATGTGCCCTTAAAATTGGGGCCTGTGGTGTTTAATATTTAAGAGAAAGAGATGAAATCACATGTGAAAATACAATTTTGCTGGGATGGTAGAAAGCAGACAGCTAATCAATTCTCACCATAATCACAGTTAGTAAGTAAACATTTGACTATTTTTCTTATGTCTCTCTTTTAGCAACTATTATACAAAAACAAGGCCTAAAGAAGGAGCTTTTCATTTAGAAACACGAGAAGTATATTCTGTTGATCCATATAACCCAGCAAGCTGATAACATGACAAGATGGTATATAATGAAACTAAAATTCATTATTAATATGTATGTCAAGATTTTCTTTAATATTTTCTCATAGTGTTTCTTAAGCATTATCTTAAGTAAATATTGTTTGATATCAGTCTTTAATAGCCATGTATAATATTATTAACTTACCCAATTCATATTGCCAACTGAAGGTCTTAGTTTAAAAACTTGTCTGTTCAGTAAATATGTAACAAATGTGATTAACAAGATTATTAAGAATAATTTTAAATGATTAAGAATGAAATAATTCAGACATTATGGCATGTATTAATAATTCTGGCACTTGGGAAGTAGAAGAAATATCAGGAATTAAAGGCCGGCCTCAGCTACATAGTGAATTTTGAGGACAGGGTTGCATGGATGAGTCCCTGTCTCAAAAGGGGGTGGGAGATAAGAATAAAATATCATTAAAGACAAATAAACAGGGAAAGAGGATAGAGAGAAGAAAGTGAATACATAGAAAGTATTCACTAAGAAAATGGCATTTGTGCAAAGACTGCAGAAAAGTAGGGAGCCAGCCAAGTAGCTACATAGAAGAGCATTCAAGGAATATACAAACAAGAGCAAGTTCAAAGACTAAGGTCTTGCTGTGTTGACATAACAAGGTGGTTTATGTGGCCTAGAGTAGATTGATCAAATAGGAAAAAACATACTCAGAGAGGTACTTGGGAAGGAGCTGGATGATTAGATAGGGTGGGCTAGGTCATTCTAATAAGTTATTATTTTGAGACAGGAAGGACCACCTGAGTTTTAAGCAGAAGAATAACATAATCATCTTAACTGCTGGGTTAAGAAGAGGCTATAGGAAGTTAAGGGTGGAAGAAGGGAATCAACAAGGAGGCTGATAAAATAATCCTGGCAAGAAACAACAGCCTGGCAAGAAGAGGCCATATTCTGCATGCATTTTTAAGATAATAACAAGAGGGCTAGATAATGGTTTGTATCTGGATTTAAAGGATCTGAAAGGTACCAATAATGATGCCAGGGATTTGGGACCTTAGCCACTGGAATGATAATGTTGCTATTAAGATGATTCAGAATGTGATAAGTAGACTAGGGAGAAATCAGTTCTGCTTTGGGGATGCTAAATGTGAGATATCTAATAAATAATCAAGTAAAAGTATCCAGAAGGCAGCTGACAAATTCACATTCCAAGCATCACAGATGATACTGAACATGCAAATACATACATAATAAAGATACTGAATCAGATCATCATAGAGTTTAAAGAGGCCACAGAAGAGAAAAAGCCCAAGTATCAAGCCTTATGACTTCTAATGTGAGGAGCTGAAAAAGAAGGAAGACTAGCAAAAGAGGCAGCCTCTGATGCAAGAGATACCCAAGTGTGGTGTGCAGTGGTACAGAGAGTTTAGGGAAGAGGGAAAGGACAACTATGAAATTGCTGTTGACAGCTTAAAAATGATAAACAATGAAAACTGATCATTGGATTTAGCAGCACAAAATTTGTTGATGAACTTAACAAAAATAATTTTAGTATAAATAAAGGAGAAAGAAGTTGGATTAACCTTAAGAGGAAATGAAAGAACAGAAAATGAAGTAACAACTATAGATATCTGTGCTATCTCTAGGAGTTTTTCTATAATGGGTCAGAAAATCACAGCAAAAATAAAGGAATGACTCTTGAATAATTAATAGATGTGTCTATGCCACAGTTCCTATAAGCTGATGGAGACAATCTAGTAGAAAGAGAAAAAAATAAAAACAAGGAAGTAATAAAGAATTTCTGGGCCAGAATTTTAGTGGAGGAGTTCCTCAGATGGGAATAAAGGTTCAGTCACAAAATAGAAACTATAATAAAACAGAAACAAGGAAGATGCTCCCATATGATGTGATGGCGAATGCACAGCCATTCTCCTTTAATGGTGTAGCTTGCAATGACTAGGAAGCGAACTGATTTGATGAGAATAAGACTGGGGAAGATTCTAGAAATTAAAAGAAAGGAGGAAATATTGAAGTTAGTTGGATGTAGAAGATTGAATGATGAAAAGTACAGAAGGGTGAGCAAGCACTATTTATAATCTACCTAAAGTACCAGAAAAATGGGAGTGGACACCAAAAGGTATACTTTGCTGAGACTCTTTGATGCCATATCTCACTCAGAACGACTTCTCTACCATTTTGAAAGATAGTTATTGATAGCTCAAAAATGACAAGAAATGAAAATTGATCTTTAGACTTAGCAGCACAAAATTTGTTGATGAAATTGACAAGACTTCTTGTAGAATAAAGGGAAAAGATAATACCAAGCTGAAGTAATAGTCCAGATAGAGAAACTAAAGCTAAAATATTCTCTTGGCCTAAGAATTCAGAATCAGGGTCTGGAAAAATGAATGATTCAGAGGTTAACAGCACTTATTCCATTTGCAGAGGACCCAGGTTTAATTCCCAAAACCTTCATGGGCTCACAATCAGTTGTGACTACATTTGCAGAATATCTGATGCCTTCTACTGATTTCTGTGAACTTTTGCAAACATGTAGTGTTCATGCATACAATGAGCACACATTCATATGCATAAATTCTTTAAAAGAGAATTTAGGATCAGTTGTGGCTTTAAACTGATTCCTATATATTTGACAGATACTTTACATTCTTGGACTCACTTTATTAGGCAAAAAGACATACATATAATAGAGTAAGAATAAGTGTACAAAGAAACTATTGTAGTATTTGAAGAGAAAAACTTATGCAGCTGGAAATTTTCCCAGTCCCATGGGGGTCTGTAGCCACTCAGACCCAAGTAAACACATAGAGACTTATATTACTTATAAACTGTATGGTCATGGCAGGCTTCTTGCTATCTAGGTTTTATATATTAAATTAAACCATTTCTATTAATCTATAAATTGGCTCACTGGTACTTTACATCTTACTTCACATGGTGGTGGTGGCTGGCAGTATCTCCTGACTCAGCCTTCCACTTCCCAGAATTCTCCTCTCTATTTATCCTACCTATACTATACTTCCTGTCTGGCTACTGGCCAATCAGCGTTTTATTTATCAACCAAATCAGAGCAACACATTCACAGCATACAGAGCCTTATCCACAGCATACTTGCTCCCAGGGACTCTTAGCAAAGGAGCATAAGAGAAAGGGAACATTGTATCAGAGGGATCCCACACTCAAAGTAAGGGAGCCAAAGGAAAGTTACTGTATTTGTTGGATAGACATTGATTTTTATTTTATTTTTATTTATCAATATAAAATATAGTTGTGTGTTCCAGTTCATATTATCTGAAGTACTTCCTAATAAAATGATATCATCTAATTGTTTAATGGTTATAATTGTCAAATAGAGAGAATGTTGCTGCTCTAGTCATGTTACTTGAGTTACATTATTCACATTGTTACCTACTAAGAAATTATCTGTTTCAGTGTCTCCTGGCTTGGAATTACTTTGAACATTGATAAGAAAGAAAATACTTGAATATCAGTACATCTCTGAGAGGTTGTAGTATCAGTGAACTAATTTCATAAACTGTAATTTTTTATATGCAATGTACTCTCAAGCAGAACAGAGGTTTGTTTGATATTAAAGATGGGTTCACAGACATCGTTTAGTGAGACCTCCTCTATGAAGCTTTATTTGTGATCTGACTGAAGGCAAGCTGTGGGTATGGAAATGTAAATGATGCTGCAAGTATAAACTTCTTAAAGAAAACTCATTCTTATATGTAGCCCCATCTTTTTGAAAGTGGCCTACACACTGTTACTATATGCTTTGGATTACAATGGAGATTTTAACATCTACCAGGGGTGTCCAAACTGCCTGTGGGCCACATGAAGCCCAGGAAAGCTATGAATATAGTCCAACACAAAATCAAATCTTACTTAAAATAATCACGAGATTTCCTTTTGTTACTTTTATTCTGTAATTTGGCTGTATAGTTCTCAAGTGTAAATGTTTTAGATGATAATACATGTTTGAAAAACCAAAAAGTTCAACACTACTGTATCTGAAATATTTCCTGCAGTTGTGATGAGCACACCTACCTGGAAACACTGACTTTAACAGAAATTTCTTTCTCTGATTTGGCTAAGCATACTCACTTGGGTTAATATTTTTCTCATAATACTGTGTATTCTTTGCCTATCCACAATCAATCTGTAATTCTAATTTGTAAGAGATTTAGGAACTATATAAGCTGATTTCTAATTCAAGCTTGGGTCATTTCTTTAGCATTTTTCTCATAAGCTTTAGCTTTTTTATAAAATGTCATTTAGTGTAATATATTCACCAATCAAATAAACTGTATTAAAAAATCTTACATGACTTTTTCTTTCTGAAGTCAATGATTTCCTAAATAATATACACAATTCTAGGATCTTAAGAGTTTATAATTTAAAAGTAATTCATTACAGAACACACAATTTGGTTGTTTTCACCAATGTCTCAATCCACAAATTAAGCTCCCTCATCCCCAGTAGGTACATATTATTTAGGGAACAAGTTCCCTTAGTTCTCCCATTATACATTAGATCTACCCTCTAGACTACTGAGAAAAAAAGCTTCCTATCAATGACCAGGTTTCTATTTCATCTTTACCTAAAGAAGATGTGGTATTTACCATCGTGTGTGTGTGTGTGTGTGTGTGTGTGTGTGTGTGTGTGTGTGTGTAGAGGGCAGTTATGACTGTGGCTTTAAAAATCACATGTAGGGCTGGAAAGATGGGTCAGCAATTAAGAATACTTGCGGGTCTTCCAGAGGACCTGGCTATGATTCCTAGCACCAACATGGCAGTTCACATTGTCTATAACTCCAGTTCCAGGGAATTAGATAGCCTCTTCTGGAGACTATGGGCACTAGGCATGTACAATGTACACAGACATTCGTGAATGCAAAATAGCCAGGCACAGGAAATAAAGTAATTAAAAAGAAAAAAACTTACAGGACCTGAAGACTAAGATTATTTCCTGAGGAATTTGTCCTAACTCCTATTCTCTTTTCCCTTGCTGGCTTCACTCTCTGGAAAACATTCTCTAGACACTAACAAAATATTTGCTGACAAGGCCAAACCTACAACTTTAGCATTTTAGTACACATTGCTGCTGTAGTCAACAACTCCTTCAAAAAGTACATTTAATAGTTCTGGTTTATCACCATAGTATAACATGCATGCAAACAAACCAGAGGCAACAGAGCAGAGAAATGAGCGGATGGTAAAACCTTCTTTGTCTTCCCAGCTTTGGGGTTTAGGATAGGAATAATCTACCTCAGTTGTTCTTAGATGGAGTGGGGTTTCTAGAGTCAATATGGTAGTTAAAACTGGAGGAGGGAAATATTCCTGTTAACTAGTGGGTAGGGGCTAAAAGCTGCAGCTAAATGTACTACAATTCATATTTAAGTCATTTATAATGAAATAGTAAATTGATTAAAGAACAGAGGAGACATCAAGCAAAATTACAAATGTTACAAAAATGAGGCAACTCCCTTTATGATCTGTTGCAGGATATTTGACTGCACTCTGACACCCTGAGACTGTGTTAATAAAGTTAACCTTGAATCAGGGGGCAGAGCCAGCGACTAGCTGACCAGAATTAGCCATAGAGAAACCAGGAGTATGGATAGAGAAGATGCACAGGAAAGAATAGGGAGGGATTTAGTGATTTCATTGTCTCTTCGATCTGGGAAGTGTGGAGAGAGGGTCAATTGGTCACTCCTCCGCCACTTTTTTTGATCTGTCAGGTTTTCACCCTAATATCTGACTCCTGAGTCTTTATTGATAATAGAACAACTTAGCTAAACACAATATCCAGTGTCCAATGTGTGACACAAGGTCACATGGTAGCTTCTAAAGTTGCTAGTTCTTCCCACAACTGCAGCCAATCCTCTGCTTGCTTCTCCCACCACCGAAACCCAAACCTTCACCACAGGCTAGGGGTTTTTGTCCTTCACAGCTCTCCTGTATCTCCTCCTAGAGCCAACACCACATGACACCCATTCCTGCTACAATGCCAACTCAGGCTTCTGCTGCTACTAGTCCTACACATATGCACATGAGATACCACAACTTAGCCAGCCATTGCCTGCTCTGTCATCCAAGTACCCTCATGTCAGCATCCACCATATGCTTGCCTCCAGCCATGCTCCTGCTGCCCATACCCTGCAGTGTCCAGCCACTGCTGCTATGAACAAACTGAAAAGTCAGTAGATTTGGTAAGATACCTGGGAAGTCCAAAGAAAAATCTTTCCCATATTAAGAATGGGTGATATCACCATGCTTGGAATTAGGACTCTGTATAGTGCCACAATAGATGGCTGGAAAATAAAAAAATAAATAAATAAATGAAGGGATAACTGACTTAGCTGGGATTGACATAATGTCAATTATAATTACTGTCAATTTGGTATATCATATTTTATCCTTAAAGGGGGTTTGATATCTGTGTCAAATATGAAAAATTGACTGATAAGATACAAGCCTTAGAAAGACCTACTAATGAAAATTTTAAAATAATTCAGACACAGTCAGAGGAATTTAGACCACAACCTACTGCACCACTACATGATGAAATAGAAGAGAAGGAAACCAATATTATTAGAAAACCAATCTTAATTTATCAAGATACTATACAAGAATGACAAGCAGACAATAAGTAACATCAAGGTTATGCAGAAGTTAAATGGAATCCTATAGAAATGTTAGATTTGGGGAGATTTAAGGGAGTAGTCTTTTCATATGATATGCATTCATCCTATGTGAAGACGATGTTAAATTCATGGGCAACTCAGAACAGATTTATCCCCCAAACTGCTAAACCGTATTTTCAGCAATATTGGAAGCCAGTCCTCAGTTACAATGGTAAACATGGTGGAAAGAGGAAGCTAGGGCTATAGAACAACAAAATAGGGCTAGATGTATTGATATTTCCCAAGAACAGTGTCTTGGTGAAGACCAATATGCTGAATTGCAAAGACAGTTTGGATTTGATGATCACACCTTGGCCCTATGTCATCTAGCAGCTTTGAATGCTTATGACAAGGTTGAAGAATCAGGAAAGAGGTCTGAGTCATTTACTAAAATTATACAAGGCCCAAAAGGAACCTTCACTGATTTTTTTTTTGCAAAGATTGACTTCAGCTGTAAATAGAATAGTATTAGATCCAGAAGTCAGACAAATATTAATTGAATCTTTAGCTTTTGAAAATACTAACCTAGCAAATGGAGGATTAGGCCTTTAAAGGCAAGATCAGCACCAATTCATGCCTGGACTAGAAATACAGCTGATATTGGATCTTATACCTATGATGCTACTTTGATAGGAGAAGTGATTTTTGAAAATTTTAAGAAAAATAAAAATGTCAGATGTTCTAATTGTGATAAACAAGATCATCTGAAAAGAAACTGTAGGCAAAGCATTCCTAGAAACAATGTTTTTTCGAGGGATAATCTAAATAGAAGGCCCCAGATTTCTGGAGTATGCCGAAGGTATGGCAAAGTCCAGAAGTGGACTAATGAGTACAGGTCAACAAGGGACATGCAAGGTAAACCTTTGCCTTCGAGAAATGCCTTAGGGGGCTTTCCCCAGGCCTCAATATCAAATTTTGTTCAATAATTTCATCAGCATTGGAGATATTCATTCATAGAACAATTAAAAGACTTAATGCCTGTTGTTAAAAACCATACTGCTTTGGAAGTGATCAAGGACAGAACAGCTCCAGTAAATAAAACAAAAAAATTCAGGAGAGACCATAACACAAGTATTTTGGCAGACTTGTATAAATGATTAAACACCAAAGCTGAAGATACAAATAAATGGCATTGTAATTGAAGATTGTTAGACATGAGCACAGATGAAACAATAATTTCCCCCAAATCTTGGCATCCAGATTGGCCTCTTCCAGAATTAAATATTCAGCTTCTAGGGATTGGAAATTTATCTCATGTAAAGCAAAGTGCAAGGTGGATCCAGTGTATAGGATCAGAAGGACAGATAGGAAAATTAAAGCCATATGTGGTTAACATAGCAATGAATTTATGGGGATGTGATTTGTTGCGGGAATGGAAAATACAGATTAACATTTCTACAATCTCAGGAACAAACCATAAAATGAAGAATGTTTCTTAGAGAAATATTAAAAGGTATTATCAAGAACAATAACCAACCATTCAGGTTGTACATAAGTATGACAAAACAGTTGTTGGTCTTTCAAAGGTACCAACCACCCCGCCTTTAAAATGGCTAAGTGACAACCTGTTGAGTGGAACAATGGCCTTTGACATCAGAAAAATTATAGGCCTTAGAATAGCTGGCACAGGAGAAGCTAAATGTTCAACATATTGAATAATTGACCTATAGGTCATTCTTCAATATAGGAATTCTCCTATATTTGTCATTAAAAAAAAAAGTGGAGAATGGTAACATACCTGAAAGCTATAAATAAGGTGATCCAGCCAATGGGTTCTTTAGAGCCTGGGTTTCCCTTGCCTTCATTATTACCAAATGGATGGTCTATTATAGTGATTAACTTCAAATACTGATATTTTACTTTTTTTTTTTTACCTATTTTTTACCTTTACAAGAACAGGATAAAAATATTTGCCTTCTTATGAAAAAAGGTGCCCACTTAGAATAGTTCTCAACCTGTTCGAAGATAGAAGTGGAGGGTCTTGCCATAAGGCATATTAAACAGCCCCACCTTGTGTCAATATTTTGTACAACAGTCATTAGAAATCATTTGTAAACAGTTAACACAATCTATAATATACAGTAATATGGATTGCAGTTACTAGCTGATTCATCCCGTTTTTTCGTTTAGTAAATGCAGTGTGTGAATCTCTCTCTGGGCAACTCGTACAGCTGATCCTAAACGTCTGAAGATGACTGGAAGCAAAAATAAGAGTAAAATGATCAATGGTCCTATAATTCCGATATTAATAATAAGGTTCCAAAAGGAGTTGTTATACACAAAATCCTTTACTGAGTTAGCAAAATAACTGGCCACTTCAGCTGCAGAGGAAACCTGGAATCTAGAGTGACTGATAGCACTGATCTGATAATGTAGTGTACCTATATTTATACCTAGTTGGGAACTATTCCAGACACTTCTCAGGTGAGCTTGCACTTGATCCCAGGACATATCTGATCCATTGAAAGGCAAAGGAGTGACACAGATCCATTTATAGTCAGCATGACATGATGCTGTTAAATGTGTCTTAATATTCTGAGTCTGATTACCCATGTATAGTATAGCCTCCTCTAAGACATTTATTCTATCTGTCAATCCTTGATCAATTCCTTCCTGAGTAATTAAAGCCATAGAAACATTCTTAGATAGGGAATTAACATGATGAGCAGTGTGTATTTGTTGAGTTAAGGCTGTGGCTGAAGCAGCTACTGTGGTAATTATTGCTATCAAGGCAGCTATGCCTAGAAAAATTGCAGCTACAAACCTTTTGGGACGAGAAAGGGAGTCAGCAATATGTTCTAATGCAAAAAGAGCAGGGTCTTCATACCAGGGTGAAGAAAGATTTACAGGCAAGAGTACATGAGATGGTTGGCGAAGGATAACGAAAGTTTTAGGGTTAGTTATGGAATTCAAACAATTAGTTAGGTAACAATCCTTGCAGGAAATATCATAAATTGAACCATTAGGTATGATGTTTAAAGTTCCTGTCGTACCTGAATAAAGGATGGCAAAGGGAGACATAACACAAGCCTGGATATTGAGGAAATTATAATTGGGCTGTGTAGGGGTTTGAAGGCCAACATGATCAATGGTGGCTAACAATCGATACAGTTGAGTCTGGGGCTTGGGAGAGTGAGAAGGCAGTGCCACATAGGTGGGACTAACCCAGCCGAAAATTGTCCATTGATTTACAGTGGGTTCTAAGGAAGTATAAGACCAATCATGTATTTTAACTGAGGCAACATTATAAGGACAAAAAGTGACTCCTATATCTGGAAAAACACAGTGTGTCCACTTAGGACGGCCAGCATTAGGTCTTACATTATCCCAAGTATGGTGTGAAAATTTAGCATCACAAACAGGAAACTTCTTTAAGGGTGGTGTATGATCAGGAACAGGTTTAGTAGGTAGATAGCTATCTACAGGAGAAATAATGCTTAATGACCAAATTTTGTTGGTAGTTTGACTAGCTTTAAGAGTTCTGTGCCTTAAGGGCAGACATCCGGGTATGGGGTGTATGGGGTATACAAAGAAACATAAGGGAAAGCTATCTGAGTGTCCTTTGAAGCTAAAGTGTTTAGCTAGGCGAGGGTGTATGAAACTAGATCCTCCCCCCACCCCAATAAAGAGGAGTCATTGGAAACAACCTTTATTTCCTCAGAATCCCACGTGGCTGGATGGAAAAGAGGGGGTTCTGGAACATATGCCCAGTAGGTATCTAGAGCAAGAGTGCAGGGAACTAAGGAGAATACCTGGAGGGTGAGCACTGCTAGCATTGCCAGGAAATGGTTTTCAGGAGTTAAGGCTTTACCCTGATTCTTAAGAACCTGAGTAGCCTCAGATGTCAGACGTTTGACCTGCCCCAAAGAGGGAATTGAGCTGCCTGCTGCATGTAGAGGCAGCTCATCGCTGGGGAGGTTGGGGATGGGGCTGATGAACTCGGAGACCGTCGACCATGAAAGCCAGGGCATCTGGAACTGGCTGTGGACTCTCATCATTGCCATCACAGGTGGTGTTCGATGTGGCCTGTGGTGGGCAGGGAGGGAGCTGCAGCGGTGGCAGTTTTCTCCTTCTCGCAGATAACTTTAAGTGCTTTTGTTCTGTTGCTGGCTGGCCATATGGTCTGATCAAGAGATCCGGGATCCACAGAGGTGAATCAGCATCCTGTGGAAACACACAAGCATTGGACCTTTCCAATTACCAATGAGGAGGTCTTTCCATTTTACTAGAGGCTTAGGTGTAACTTTTGTGGAGAAGTGTCTGAGGAAAGAATTTGTATTATCCTCAGATATATTCATATGATTAATTACAAACAGAGCATGGTTTAAGATATGATGGGGAGATGAGTATTTAAGATCTCCATTTTGTAATTTTGATATTTGGGTTTTTTAAAGTTTGATGAGCTCTCTCCACTATAGCTTGACCTTGGGGATTATAAGGAATGCCTGTGGAGTGGGAGATATGAAAGGTTAAACACCAATTCTTAAAGGTTTTTGAAGTATATGCAGGCCCATTATCTGTTTTTAGAGCTCTAGGCATTCCTAATATCGAGAAGCAGTGGAACAAGTGTTGTATAATATCCTTAAATGCTTCTCCAGATCAGGCTGTGGCACAAATGATATGAGAATAGGTATCCACACACACTGACAAATGCCAATTTTCCAAAGGAGGGAACATGAGTTACATCCATTTGCCATAGATCACAAGGACGTAGGCCTCTTGGGTTAACTCCCATAGGAAGAGAATTTGTAGTTGTTGGACAGACATTACAATTATGCACAATGGATCTGGCAGCTTCACAAGGAATTTGGAATTGAAAGCAAAGAGCCATGGCATTTTGGTGGTGCAAAGCATGGCTTTTTTGAGCTGCTTCTGTAAAATAGGCAATGATTCCAGTTAAAGAATCAGCCATATGATTCCCTTCATGAATGGGACCTGGAAGCATCGTATGCGCACGAACATGACCAAAAAAGAAAGAATGAATCCTGGATTGAATTAACTTTTGTAGTTTTGAAAGCAAGTTTAAAACTGTAGAGCAGCTGGAGGGAAGAGGGGCAGTTTCTATATGTGGAAATAATCTGACGATATATTGAGAATCAGTATACAAATTAAAAGTTCTGTCTTTGAGTCTCTCAAAGGCAGTAATTACTGTTATTAGTTCTACTCTCTGTGCAGAAGTTTCCTGTGTAGGAAAGGATTCTTTATGACCATCAATAATTAATGCAGCTTGGCCTGAAGCAGAGCCATCAGTAAATACTAAGGCTGCTGGAGGAGGCAATGGATCTGATTTAGTTCTATAGGGAAAAATTACAGGATGCAAGCATATGAATCTTAACAGATAATGGTCAGGTAGTTCATAAGAGAAAGTGCCAGTATATCCTATCTGGCTACTTGCCAATCTACAGACTCATAAGACAGGATATTATGCTGTTCAGCTGTATAAGGAAGGATTATCAGATGAACATCCTGTCCAAATAATTCTCTACTCTGTTTCCTTCCTTTACGTAATAGACATGCAACCAGGGAGGTATATACTGTTACAATCTTTTTATGAGTTAGAGGTAAATGTAGCCATTCTAGAGGTCCTCCTTGCCACAAACAGGCAGTGGGAGTATAATCAGTAGGTAGAATAACCAGACTCCATGGTTTATTGTAATCTATACAAAGGAGTCTTTTAGAATTAAGTCCCTCCTCCAATAGTGTCAAGGGTGCTTTAGCCTCAGGTGTTAATTCCCGTGGTGATCTTGGATTAGGGTCACCATGAAGAATGTCAAATAAGGGTTTAAAGACAACTGTGGGTATATTTAAATAGGTACGTACCCAGGTGATATCACCAAGCAGTTTTTGGAAATCATTTCAAGTTTTTAAACAGTCTATTCTCAATTGAAAAGGTTGGGGAGAAGCAAAATCCGTGTGAATAACACGTCCCAGATATGAAAAAGGAGGTTGAATTTGGATTTTCTCAGGAGCTACTTGAAGCCCATATAAAGTCAATTGTTGGACCAGGAATTGTAAGGCTTCTTATCGATAGGTTCTGTCAGTATGAGAAATCAATATATCATCCATATAATGAACAAGATAAACATCAGAATACATTTTACAAACTTGTAAAAGTGCCATATCCACAAATTTTTGACACAGGGTCGGACTAGTTTTGCTTCCTTGAGGTAAAGTTTTCCACTGATACCTCTGATAGGGTCTCTGGAAATTTGGAGAAGGCAGGCTAAAGGCAAAACACTGACAATCTTTAGGATATAAAGGTATGGTAAAGAAGCAGTCTTGTAAATCTATGACAATTATATTATGATTTCTAGGGATGGCTGTAGGAGATGGCAAACCAGGCTGTAAGGTTCCTATTGGCTCCATGATTTCATTTAATTTTCTCAGATCTTGTAACCGCCTCCATTTGCCTGATTTTTTTCTTAATAACAAATATTGGGGTGTTTCTAGGGCTGGTAGATGGCTCTAAATGACCTTTATTAAGTTGCTCCTCTACCAGATGGGTAGCAGCTTCAATTTTTTCAGTACTCAAAGGCCACTGTTCAACCCAGATAGGAGCATCAGATTTCCAAGTAATGGGGTCAGCAGTGATTTGAACAGTGGCCCCTAGTATAAATTTTGATACCCTAGACCATGTCTCTCATTTTTAATTTCTGGAATAATTGGCTCAATTCTGCCTTGGGTTTGCTTACCCAAGCCCTTTTCAGGGTTAAAACCCATCTGCAACATCTGAGCTGAAACTAGTTCATTAGCAGAGACCAACAATACACCCATTTGCTGCAGCACATCTCTTCCCCACAAGGTGATAGGTATGGAGGGGACTACATAAGGACAAAATGTGCCATGATTTTCTCCATCAGACCACCTTAATATTTCTGAACTTCTGGCTACATTATTAGCTTGACCTAATCCCACTAGAGAGGAAGGAGTAATATCCGTCTCCCAAGTACTCGGCCAATCTTTTCCTGAAATGCAGGAAATGTCCACACCACTGTCTAGCAAACCAGTTATTTTCTTTCCTTGTACTTTGAAAGTTTTAGTTGGTCTGGAATTCTTGATTTCCTGAATCCAAAAAGCCATGTTGCTAGATCCTAAACCAGCAGCTCCTCTTGTAGCTGTTGAGACTGCACTTCCTGTAACCTGATATGGAAGCAGGAGCAGCTGTGCTATGGCGCTGTCCTGCACGAATCTGAATTGTTTTTGTAGGAGGTTGTACAATAATCTTAATCTCTCCAGTAAAGTCAGGGTCAGTCACTCCTGGGACAACATTAACACCTTGTACAGCAGAGGAGCTACAGCCTATGATTAGCCCCAGTGTCCCTTCTGGGGGTGATCCGTAGACCCCAGTGTTAAGGCATACTGTTGGGGAATCAGATGTTAGTATTGTGAAGGAGGTGGAACACATGTCCATTCCTGCGCTCCCAGGAGTTGCTCTTTGTAATTGTTCGATTGATTTTTGTTAAAAAAAAAAAAAGGGGGGGGTTGTTTGTCCGATTTATTGCTCCCATTATTTTCTGGGGCCGGACCTGCCCCTTTCCCCCATTTCCCTGGTATGGGAGGGGTCCTGTATTGATTGAGATGTTGCTAGCATTAGTTAGAGGGGTGCCATTTTTATGATAATGGGACCTACATTCCTTTTTCCAATGAAAACCCTTCTGACAACTAGGACACAGTCCAGGGGGCCTACTTTGAGTTGTATTTGGAGTCAAATCTGGAGCACTTGGGTTTATATTATTGTCTCTAGAATCAAAGTTTGTATTCACTTTTATTTGAAAAGGGCACTCTCTACTGATATGTCCCATTTGTCTGCAAGAGAAGCATCTAAGTCCCACGTTCTTTTGATTATATTGTTCTGGTTGTTGGTTATTTAGAAATTGAGTAGTCGTGTGTCCCTGCAATGCGGCTGCTATTGCTATGCCTTGAAAATAAGAGGGACCAACATCCACGCATGCTCTGATATAATCAGAGATGCTTCCCATTTTCTTTACTTGTCTCAGTAAAGATTGGCAAGTGGTAGAGGCATTTTCATAAGCCAGTTGTTTCAAGATTATATCTCTTGCCTTGGAACTGGGTACCACTCTCTCCACAGCTTCTGTAAGTCTGGCAACGAATTCTGTATATGGCTCTTCAGGATTCTGTGTTATTTTAGCAAGCCCTGTAGTATTAGCATCAGCAGAGCGTAAACGTTTCCACGCTGTTAGGGCTGCTGTAGTGATTGCCTTTAAGGTGTCCTGTGATAGTTTTAATTGTTCAGCTGTATTGGCATATTTCCCAGTGGCCATGAACATCTCATAGGTTAAACGTTTCCTCGAAGGAGATTTTGCGGTTTCCTGACGGGCCAATTCCTCATACTCAGCTTTCCATATCAAGTATGTACCTCCTGCTAAACAGGCTTTTGCTACTTGGAACCAATCATGAGGAGTGAGCCATTGGGGGGTTAAGCCTTCCACCAGCGTGAGTGTATACGGAGAGGTTGGCCCATAGGCAGCTGTTGCCTGTTTTATTTCTTTCAGTAGTTTAAAAGGCAGGGGTTCCCATTTGGCTTCGCCCTCTATGCCTGGGTCAATCACAGGGAAGCATCCTAATGCTTCCCCTTGGTGATGGGCCTGTTGAACTGCTCCAGCAAAACCCACCGGCCCCTCTTTTTTTTTTTCTTTTTACGTTTTGCAGGAGGCCGTGTGGAGTGTATGTTTAAGCGCTGTAGCGGGGGATGCTGTCAGGTGTTTGACAGCGCATTGTTCTTTTTCCCTTTCTGTCTTCCTCCTCAGAGGTTGATGTGTCTTTGCTAGAATCATCAGAAGTCTCTTCTGAGCTGTTCTCACTAAAATCTCTTAAAGAGGGGAAAATATTCCGTTTCTTTTCTGACCGGAGGGAAGGTGGAGGAGATCCCTTAAACTTAGGGGTAGTGGGAACTGAGGATTGGGGAATAGTTTTTTCTGATTTTGCTTTAGGCTTAAGTTCTTCATCAGTGGACAAAGCTTGTTTAAGCGTTTTCCACATGGAGAGTGCTGTTGATGGCATCTGCTGTTCTCCATGCTCTGTACACCACTACCTGATATCTTTTCCTACAATTTCCCACGTCTCAGAGTCCAAGGTCCCACGGTCTGGGAACCAAGGGCTTACTTTCTGTACGAATTTAAAGAATTCAGAAAGTTGACTAGCACTAACTTCAACGCCTTGCATCTTTAGCATATGCTTGATCACTTGAACAAAAAGCTGTTTCTGTTTTGACTCATTCTGACCCATGGTGCAAGAAAGATTCTTAGGGGGATTACTAAAGGGGAAAGGGTATTCACTACTCACCGTTTCCAACAGGGGGTCGGTGTCGCTGGGGGCTGCAGCACCCTAGGGTGAGGACTGGTTGTAGCCGATGCTCCGGAGTTGAGCCTCTAACTGGGCAACCCTCTGTGGAGTGATACCTCTCCCTGGATATACTCCAAAATACTCACTTCCCTCAGTCCCCTGAGTACCAAAAACAGTTAAACCTGTTCAGGCGCCAGGTAACGCAAACAATATTAGGTCCAGCCTATATTGCTTGCTCCCAGGGTCCGCGGAAGAGTCTACCAACCAGCTGAGGATTCTATCTGAGGGATATTCAATGAATCTAAGCACACTCCGTTCTTTAGTCCATTCGCTTTATTTCTCTAAGTTAATTCTACCTGTTACAGGAAAAAACCGTCTATATACACGAACCGTGTCCCTATCACACTGCCTTGTGAGATTAAAAGTTTTCAGGGTTACAGAGAGGGGTGATAAGGATACACACATAAAGCAATTAATTGTCAGCTTCCAATTACAACTCAAAAGGGGAGTGACTAAAGGGGAGTTCTCTGGTAGAGTCAACTATAGGCTAAGACCAATTAGGGAATGTATGTGCTCAAACTATAATCTAGAAATGGCTAGATAAAATGTTAGGTGTCAATTAAGTCACAAGAAAGTAAACTGTCTTTGGTGCCCTTCCCCCCGCGCCCCCTGCTCCTCCCAACTGCAGCTGCTTTCAGATGTGGAGGGGGAGTGTGCTTGGTTGCTAGGTAACCTATGTCAGAGTATGTAGTGTTTGGTTAGTAAAAGCACTTTCACTCAGAGTAATTGCTGAGGAGAAAATCTAGGAATAGCACCTGGCTGAGGAGGAATAAAAACTTAATTTGCACAAGAAAGAAGCTTGGCACCTATCACCTGTCTGGCCTTGTAGGCAACTGCCTTAACTCAGTATCTAGCAAATGGCTAAAACATCATCCCAGGAATGGGAACAGTAAATCTCTTAAATTAGGGTCTTATGTAAATAACCTGGGGTGACGGTAAGGAGTTGAGGATTTAATTGCTAGTGGATATTTTTTCTTATCTGTAAGTGGGATGAGCTAATGTTTTGCTGCCTTTATCTTTGGAAAAAGAGGTATCTTATCTGAAATACTTTTATCCAGAGAATGGCTCTGGCCAGATTTTATGTTAATAAAAAGTAAACACAGCTGGGGATAGCCATCCAATTACCCCAAATGTATAAGGAGAGTTGTGCCCAATTAGTGATTAGTTGCACTGTCATAAATTCTTGAAGGAAAAGTCGAATGGGGGAAACTCCAACAGCACACAAGAAATTAATTGCAGGATACAGCTAATATATTCAAAAGCTAATATCACCAAGACTCCTTAAGCCTTGGTTTTCCTCTGGAAAAGTCCTTAACTTTTTCCAGGTGATAGCTTTGTCAATATCAGCTGAACTCCTACTTCATATTCCTGCGGCTGGCAGCGGATTCAGATACAGATACCTTAGAAAAGTGTTTGATGAAGTAAAGAGAATTTTGCCTTGTTTGGGATTATAAATTGCTCCTGAAAAAAATATAAAGAAGAGATGCTATTAGTTACCTAGGCTATAAGATAGCTATAAGATAGGTTTACAGAAAATTCAACCACATAAAGCACAATTCAGGAGAGATCAATTACCAACCTTGGTGATTTTCAAATTTTTCAGGGCAATATTAACTGACTACAGCCCACAAATGGATTAACAACTAAAGAATTAAGCAATTTATTTCAAATCTTACAAGGTGATAAGGACTTAAATAGTACAAGAAAATTATTACCTGATGCTGAGAGAGAACTGGCTTTGGTAGAAGATATTACAAGATGCACATGTGTATCTCTTGGATCCATAGTTTGATTGTATCCTAGTCAAACCACTCATTCTCCTATAGGAATTCTTAGGCATGATGTAATTCCTACGTGAACGGATTCCACTCTATCTAGTATAATGTGATTAGTTCATGGAAAAATCCCACTCTTCACCGTGCATTTTACTTGCAGATCACAATGAAGAAGATGATTTTTATAAGAGCAATGATGCTTACTTGAATCAATAATTTAATTGAACTTTCTGAGTTAGCCTAAGAGATACAAGTGGTTAAGACAGTAAAGATGATTACCGAAATGGTTTAGGTTGCTTGCCAGTTGCTCCAATAAGAGATACAAAAAAAGGATAAAATAGGCTAGAAGTCATCTTTCCCTCTATTATATATATGAGATTTGTAGAAGATGAAAAATAAGAACATGGAAGTTTCATGCATTATAGACCCATGGATTCTATCTGTGAAAAACAGGCTGATGATCAAAAAAAGCAATTATGTCCCTACACTCAAGGTTAGGCCTGAGTTCCTTGGTCAAGTAGCTTACACAATTTACCACAGATTTTGGTATGCACCTTGAAAAAACAAATTTATGAAAGTAAATTAAATTACCCTATTATTTGTTAAGAAAAATACGTGGTTAGCTGACCACTTGTCTAAACTTTTTGTAGAGTAGAAATAAGATGGAAATTTGCTACATTGAAACCACAAACAGCTGCCTGAAGTACAAAAGGAACTCACTGAAATATACTTAACTTGCTTAAAATTCTATTAATTGTGATGGTGCCAGCATTTAATCCCAGCACTCGGCAGGCAGTAGCCAGTGGATCTCTGCAAGTTCAAAGGTTCTAGGACAGCCAGGGCTGTTACACAGAGAGAGCCTATCTTGAAAACATAGAAAAAAATTTTTATTAATCAATAAGAAAGGAATCATTGTTTGGGATGAAGATGTTATGGTGGGGAAATTAATACAAAGGAAAATGTTTAAGTACTTGTGCTCTTCTAAGGAAAACATGTGACTTGTGATCATAATGTGATTTCTCCCCGCATAAAGATTTTAATTGTTTTTGGATAAGATGTAACTTGTGGTTGTAAGGTGATTTCCTTCTTACATAGAAGCTTTTGTCTTGGATGGTATAAAGGGGGTAAGAGAAAAATAAAGTATATAACAAGCAGCAGAATAAAAGGAAGAATTAAGCTTTGCCCCTCAGAAAAGGTCCCTGCGTGTGTGTGTGTGTGTGTGTGTGTGTGTGTGTGTGTGTGTGTATGCACTTGTGCATATCTAGCCTTCGATGACTACACATCTCTTTTCCAATTTCTCTACCCTGCCAAAAGCCAGATCTTTTGGCATCAGAGGACCTCAATTTCCAGCACCCACATGATGCTAACAACTTTCTGTAACTCCAATTGCAGATCTGAATCCCTCCTCTGACCCTGTGGGCAATGCACACAAGTAGTGCACACAAAAGCCCGCATACAGGCAAAACACACCTGTACACATAAAAGCAAATAAATAAAAATGGAACAATGTAGAAACAAAAGAAAAAAGAAAGAAAAGAAAAAGGAGAAGAAGAAGAAAGAAAGATGAAGTTATCCTTTTCTGTGTGTTTCAGAAAAGTCGGTGACTTAGAAAGCAACATAGCTGCAAAAGACTACAGTAGGGTGTGGGAATTTGGGGAGAAAAGGCAAAGAATCTCACTAAGGTGATTATTCTACCTATCTCTTTAGCATGGCTGAAGGTGAGCCCATGTTCCTAGAGGTGGTCTCTTGACAAGGCTTTGCCCAACTGGAATATGAGGTATCCATCCAGGCCAGGTATTATATTTTCTTAACCATAGTGTCCCTTAATAGGCCTTTGTTGTAGGTATTATATTTTCTTAACCATAGTGTCCCTTAATAGGCCTTTGTTGTCACCCTAACACAAACATTTAAATGAAATGAGTTGTCATTAAAGTAAGACTAGTCATCATCAATTATTTTCTTCTAGTCACATTCAGTTTTATAGTAATTTAGGCAAAATAATAGAGAATTGAATTTTATGTTGGTTTTGTCCAATAAATACTGTAAGTGAAGGTGTATGCAAAATGGTGACTCTTACAGTGGAGCACAAATCTAACCTAGCAAGAGACCAGTTGTGGCAGGTCCATGGATTTATAGGTACTGTGAGATACAGGTTGTGAGAGACAAGACACTGGGGTGAACTAGAAAGGTAGGACTTGTGGTTAAGTGGAATAGTTGAGCTTATGGAGAGGATACAGTTAGTGACAACTCCAGGATAATCTATGGGCACTGGTGGCATTGTAGAGTGGAGGACAAGATCATAGGCAAAGATAAGAAACTATGAGGCCAAGTATGTGAAGAAACAAAACAAAACAAAAACGTTTCTATGACCTTTGAAGTTGGTGAGGACTAAGATAAGAGGAGCATTGGTGGAAGTGAATGTCAGCCAGGAGCTAAACCCATCAAGGACTGAGGAATGAAAGTGGGTGCTAAGAGGGAAGCCCAAAACCATGTGGGAGTGAGGAGCCTACTCTGATAGTATTCAGTGTAAGGAAGTTGAGGAACTGAATCCATTTAACTGCAATATATCTTCTTCTTCCATACTCTATTGAGAATAACTTAAATTCTAAATAAGTCTTACAGTACTCAATCCAAAGCGCTGCCAGGACTGGTTCCATCTGAAAGCTCCAGAGGAGAATCTGTTGATTTCTTCTACCTTATAGAGGCTGCTGGCATTTACTCTCTGGAGGCAGTAACTCTGATCTCTGTTCACACTATTCTCCATTTCAGATCTAGTACCGCCTTCTTGTAAGGATCCTTGGGATTGTCAAACCCATTTTGATAGTCAGGATTACCTCCCCATTTCAACATTTTTGGTTTAATTTAATCAGCAAAGTCTTTCTGCCATACAGGGTACCACAGGTTCTGGAAACAGAATGTGGACATTTTTGTTCACATGCTCTATCTTGTAATCTTTGAATTCTTAATCCTGTTCCCTAAACTTGGCCTTCTATATTTGTTATTTCAAAAAGTACCACCATCCATCTCTAATTGGGGGGCTATTTCTTGATTCCTTCCTCCCTCCCTAACTCCCTCCTTCCCTTCCTTCTTTTTCTTCCTTTCCTCATCATCATTATTAAGAAAGGAACTGAAATCCAGAGCAAACCCTGTTAAATCCATTTCTGGGGTCTTATTAATTGTTCACCTGTCATCAAATCTCACTTGGATGATGGCAAGGCCTGATATCCCCCATTCATTACTGCAGTCTTAATGTAGGTTGAATAGCATTGACATTATATTTGTGAACAAAATCTTCTGAAAAGAAGCTGCATCTGGCTGTGAAAGAAAACTCCTGAAAGGTATCTGTGTTTGCAGAGACTGATTGGCTAATTATAATTTCAATATTGTGGAGGGATTGTAATGTTGAAGTCCAGAGGTTAATTACCTTATGTTCTTTTGGACTTCTGAAATAGCCATTCTTTGCCCCCTGTGTCAGAACTAACATCTGGGACAATAGATTAAAACAAAACAAACAAGCAAACAAATAAAAAAAACCCACAGCAAGCAAGCAAGCAATAAGTAATCTTTTGGAATCTATTAACTTAGCAGGCAACTAGCTTCTACCAATCCAAAAGCTAATAAGGGTGCAGTCAGATACCATCTTGAGCCTATGGAAAAGCACATTCATTAATGTACCCCCTTTCTGATGTACCCACCAATGTATTTTAAACTTGATTTAAGACTTTCTCTGCTCTGTAAAACCATGAAAACTTTGTGGAACTGCTTCCACGTTGGGACATGGAACTGGGGGTAACCTGAATCATTGTTCCAGGGACATGGTCACTCATAATGACTCTAGAATAAACCTTTATTCCCTTTAAGATGAAAATTATGGGTTTTGTGTATAAATTTTATATCTGGTTAGCTCATTGCTTTAATTTTTGTTTCTGTGGCACGTTACATCTGAATTTATCACAAGGAGATAAGTTCTTAACTGTATACTACACAGGGCCTGCAACTGCTGGCTCACCCTTGATTAGGCTCCACCCTTTCGATTTCTGAAAGAAAAAAAAAGGCGCGGGGGAGGGGTAGAGCGGTAAGGCCGGTTTATAGTCAACCCGCGTTCCCATAATGCCTTGTTTTCTTTGGAACCAAAGTACTTATTAAAGAGACATCCTGGAACTGACTTGCTAGGTTTTTTGTTCTGTGCCTGCATCCGTGAAGCGATCTCCCAGGAGAATTTCCACAGAAACCCCACGAACAAGTCGTAAACAAGACCCCGCCCAACAAGGGGAAGCTGTGGTCAAAACCTTTATTCCGGAACTCAGCGCCATTTCCCGCACCCTGGGCGGGGTTGCCTTCTCTGCTTTGCGATTCTACAGCGCTTGAGACCCGTGTGAAGAAAATGAAGGTTTCTGGGATCTCAAAGCGTCTGGGCACTGTGGGACGCCTTGTAGCTTTCTGCCAAGGCAGAGTCCAGCTGGCGGTCCTGCTGCTGTCCTTGGCGCCATCTACTTTAGGTGAGCCACGGGGAGGCGCGGGGAGGCAAGGATGTGCCCTGCAGCGAAACCCGCGGTAAATGGGCGCAGTGCAGACTCCAGCGGTGGTCTAGGGTCCCCTGGGGGTGCTCAGTGCTCCTTTCTTGTGGGTGAGTGCAGAGCTCTGAACCCAGATTGTACTCAGCCGGTAGGAACGCTTGGTCTCCTACCTGTTGTCTGTACTGAGTGTAGAGTAAATTGTAGTGAAAAAAAGAGGTGTAGGGGTCCTGGCGTGGGGGCGTAGAGGGGACGTTGTGTAAACCTGCGAGATGCAATTTCTAATCCTAGAATTTGGTTGTGAGGAAAGTAAATATGCCTGTGTTTCCTCATCTGTGAAATGGAAATACTGTTTGTTTTTAAGGCGTTTTTACCCTGTTAGGAAAAGTAAGGAAACAGGACAGAATCCACTAACCAGAGTTTTATTAAGATAAGGGAGAGGGACAGATGTACACAGGCCTGTGGAAAGACATGTGTGTGAAAGGGCCTGGGGATCATGGTGCCAGTTAATAAAGGTTGGGCTGCACCTGAGAACACAGGCCCACTTGGCTGTTCTGCCGATGCACATAGATCTTGTGGTTACGTTGCACACTTTACCCAACCACATAAAGCCACGGTCCTGAGTCACAGGAGATGTTTGACCCGGAAATGACTAGGTGGAAGTGACTAGGTCCCTTGAAGCATGTGCGACCATGCCCATCCTTGGGGGCATGTTATGAATTTATATCACTGAGGTCCTTCATGACATTGCTATTTAATTTGTGTCAAGTGTCTAACTCAAGTTCTGCTGCTTAATATATTTCTATCCTGGAGTCGTTATTCATGCATTTGCTCTGAAGGCCTAGACAAATAGGACTAGGGACTGTGTACTTTATCTTCTACCCCAAAACCTCATCTACTCACTTGAGTTCCCACTTTAAGGAAGATCCTCCCATTCCCAACCTAGGTTAGGATTTGAAGGGTGAAGAACCCCAGGATGCAATGAAATATTTGCAAGTAAAAAAGACTATTGCACTTTAGTGATGGTTAAGCACAAAATAGAGTGTCCATTTTACCCGCTATGGAAGTTCTAAGTTGCCTTCCTTCCTCTTCAGTAAGAACTTTCTTACAGAAAGACTTCCTTGAAGTCTTTTTGCATTGTTTAGACTCAGTGACATTTGAAATGACAGTCCTGTGTTTTTGCTCAACTGGAGGTTTAAGTTTTCCACTAGACTGATTACATATATTAACTGAACCTAATTTTCTGAGAGTAGAGAAAAAACAAAATTTCTGCAAAAAGTTGTGCTTAAATTTTTATCTTCCTAGGCACACATAGTAATGGGTCAGATGAAGATATATGATACAATTTTATTTTTAGAAAAGAAGTATAGCAAGAGCATTGGGAATCTCCTATCAGTGCTTAGGGATCTTTATGGCTTTGTCATCTTCTGGCTGAAATGTTGGGGCAGTTTTGCCATAGTTATAAACAGGCATTATCGTGTGCAAAGGAAACCAAGGTTATTATAGTAACCTTCAACTGTGACTCAAGCCATGGAGTGCTTTAGTCAACAGAGTTGAAATGAAGAGAATACCACTAGAATGCTCCCACTGGCCACAGCATTTTGTAATTTAAACAAAATATGGTGGAGAGCTTCACCTCAAAGGTATGTATACTCATAGAGAAATTGGTTCTGGATTTCCATTCTCTGTTACTTACAACTGAGGACCTTGGACCCAGCAAGTCAGTTAACAAGTATCCACATGTGTGCCTCTGAGAGCATTATCAAAATGTATGAAACAAAAATGGGCAGACTTGTGAACAGCAATAAATAAACCCATCTTAGAGCTGGAAGCTTCAATACCCCTCCACCAGAAATAAACAGATGTATCATGGAAAAAAAACAGTAAGGACACACACAGCAGAACTCAGCAACACCAGTATAACTGGCAAGTTTGGAATCCTCTCACAACAGTAGAATATACCTTTTTCTCAGGCTCATACAGGCCATTCATTGAAATAAACCGCATTCAAGGCGGTAAAATGGCACAGTAGTTAAGTCTTACTAGTATACTGTTGGAGTTGGTAGACTCTGGCATGCCCTAAGGTACTCCTGTAGGATCATTTCTGTTAATTCTGCTGCATGGAGAAGACAAAGGAAGGGAGTTAGAGTCTGTTTCCTGTACTTCATAATGCATCTCAGTTTCTGTATTCTCAGATGTGTAATTTATGGTTTATATTATCTAATGTTAGCCAAAATAACCTCACTTAGAAAAGCAACTTCCAACATGTCTTACACATCAGAAATACTCACTGAAGATGATTATAGTAAGAGTAATTCCAGAAAACAAGATTGCTGCACACACTACCCCTTTATCTGCCTAAGGATATACACATACCTAAGTTGTATGTGAAAGGCAGTCAGAGGAAGAAATGCTGTCAGATAAAAACCAGTAACAACAACAACAATCTAGAAAATATCAAGAATACTAGTTGAAATACACCTTTATATACACTCCTATTAACAGAATCTGTGATAATATCTTGTCACTCAGTGTTAACTAATGATATTAAATCATTATGTCTATTAAAGTATTTAAAATTCTTATTCTAAGCCAGGTGATGGTGACACACACAATCTCAGTCCTCAAAGGCTGAGATAGGTGGATCTCTCTGAGTTTCAAGCCTCCTTGGTCTGCAGAGGGAGTTCCAGGACAGCCAGGGCTACACGGAGAAACCTCTTGAAAAAAACAAGATAATAGCAGTAATAAAATAATAGTAAAAATAATAATAAATAAAATAAAATCTTATTCCATTTGTATGGTATCCTTTTAAATGTTTATGTATACCACATTTATAAGTTTATTTTTTTTTTAATTTTGAGCTCTTTATTTTTACTGATAAAATTGCTTCAGCAAAATCTTCAAAGAATCTCTTCACTTAAGAGTAAAGTATGCAGACCAGAGTGTAACTCAGGTTGACAGCTCATCCTCTCCAGCACAGTCATGGAAATGGTCATGAGTTCACAGTCGTGATGACTCAGGATGAGTAAGTCAGTGACTTAAATAGACCATTTGAAAGGAGGTTATGTCATTCAGGACAAAAAAAAAATACAATAAGATAACAATATACATACATGAGTGTTGCTAGAGTTTTCCTGCCTTGCCCACAGTCAGGACAAATCTTTGTCACCCACCAGTCCCACAGCCGCTCAGACCCAACCAAGTAAACACAGAGACTTATATTGCTTACAAACTGTATGGCCGTGGCAGGCTTCTTGCTAACTGTTCTTATAGCTTAAATTAATCCATTTCCATAAATCTATACCTTGCTACGTGGCTGGTGGCTTACTGGTGTCTTCACATGCTGCTGGTCATGGCCGTGGCTGGCAGTGTGTCTCTCTGCCTCAGCCTTCTGCTTCCCAGAATTCTCCTCTCTCCTTGTCCCACCTACTTCCTGCCTGGCCACTGGCCAATCAGTGTTTTATTTATTGACCAATCAGAGCAATTTGACATACATACTATCCCACAGCACATGAAAACAGTTAAAAGTAAGAAGGCTCACCATATCAATTGTTAGCAATAAGTAAATTAGTTAAATTTGTTATATGCTGTTTACTGGCAGGTAAGGCACTACTCTTGGAAAGTGGTTCAGCATCGTACCAAACAATTCCTATCATGTGACTTGGCGGTTTACTTCTAGGTTTTTCCTTAAGAGAAATAAAAATCTGTGCCCAACAGACATCTACATTAGTTTTTATAGCTGAGTGGTTTTTGTTTTGTTTGTTGTTTTTAGATTTTATTTATTTTTATTTTACCTATATTACTGTATATTAGTGTTTGCCTGCTTGTATGTCTGTGTACCGTATGCATGCAGTGCGTATAGAGGCCAGAAGAAAGCATTGCATTTCCTGAGACTGGAGTCACAGAAGAATGTGAGCTGCCATGTGGGTGCTGGAAATTGGACCTGGGTCTTCTGGAAAACCAGAAAGAGCTCTTAACTACTGAACCATCTCTCCAGCTCCTTCATCACTGCATTATTGGTTATAGGCAATAAGTGGAAACAATTAAAATGTCCTTCAGTTAAATTATGACATATTTATTTATCTAACTGAATATTTACCAGCCATGAAATACATGTAACCAAGGTGAATCTCAAAGTAATTACACTTTGTAAAGCTAGACCAATGAGAAAACAAAGACTGACATTTGTATGATAATTACATGACATTCTAAGTTAAGTCTTTGTAGTTAGAAAAAGCAGGCTGGAAATACTCAGAGGAAGCAAACAGATGGATTATAAGGACAAAGGAACTTGGAGTATGAGGGAAATGCTTGTCTTTATTTCAGTGAGAGTTTCATCATGCATACATATATATCAAGTCATAATAAATTCATGTACTTTAAATGCTTATCAACTCTGTGCATTATATCTTAATAGATGCATAAAAATAACTTGAATGATGAAAGTTTTGACTTTATGAAGTGCCTGTTAACGTACCTATCATAGAAATAGCCATAGTTTGAGGGATTGGTAACAGGAGGCAAAGGAAACTAGATGACCTTTCTCTGTTGAAGGTTCATATGTACCCTTTCATTTGGTCTTTTTTACAAATTAATAGTTATTATTACATACCGTATTTGTATGTTCAACTTCAATAAGTGTAGATAATTAAAAGAAAGAAACATCTCTCTAAGAATAGTTCCAGTAAATTTCTGTATTGCTTTAGAACTCTTTCCAGCCTCTCCCTGGAAGCTTTGCTATAATGATCAGCTTCTCTTGCCTTTTTATTTGTTTGTTTTTCTTTTAACTGTATGCTACACTTGGGATTGATTCCCTTGCCTGAGATTAATGGAGGAGACAATTATCAGCATTGCATTCATCTTACATGTCAGCTAGAGAAAAGGTGAAAACATAATATTTGAAATCACAGAAACTTTCACTCAGTGGTTTTATTGTTGTTATCACAGAGGTTTTCACGGGAATTATTTTTTTCACTTAGTAGGTT